TTTTTTTTTGATGGGTGAAAATGGTATGGTAACGGTAACTCCCCCTGCGCTAACGGGATACGCTGACGGAGCACCAGTGAAGGGTGATAGATGAGAATGAAAACAGGCCAGTTAGCCCATCATGATGAATTCATCAGGAATTAATCCCTTTCCCCCCGCATGTGTACTTTCCATCATGTACATCCAATAACTACTATATTCACATAACTCGTGACTCAGTTCTCTTTTATTCTAGAGTAAGGACAATGCAGTCACCATGACTGTGACATATTAAATAAAAGACGGCAGACGCCATTTTGCCGGAAGGCCGACATGTTCCGGCTTCGGAACTTTCTAAGCTTAGTCACTGAGCGAGTTGGTTTGAAAGAAAACGTTGGGGCAAAACGAGGAAAGGAGTTATGTTTATATACATGATAATAAAATGACAACCCTGCTAGCGTTAACGGTATATTTACCACCTAGTTTGTACCCACAAGCAAGGGATGATAGGTGAGGATAAAGTGGATCAGTGTGATGTGACTGTTTTCACAGGATAGGATAGACCTACGTCTATCCTATTCTATACTAACAATCCCATACCCCTGGAAAGTATATGTTATATTGGTGTGATTTTTTTTTACAACACAGGGGGCAAACGAGCATGCGGCTCACCTGATGGTAAGTGACTACCGTCGCCCATGATCACCCACAACACCAGCGGCATTGCAGGTGTGCTGCCGGCCTTTTAAAAAGGAGTATACTCTTTTCTTGAAGGTTATGTTGTCGTATCGGTTCGGAAATACTGCTGCTGTAAGTTGATTCGAAAGAATGGTTGTGCGTGGAAGAAAGTGCCTTGAAAAACGTACGGTGGAAGACCGCCACTTGTCCAGATGATAATGAAAGGTTAACGAAATGTCATTAAATGTCAGGTTATACCAAGCTTTTCTCGTTAGTATGGAGAGAATCAACTACTAGCACCACCAGAGGGAGACTGTACAAAAGTCGTCCGTTTGGGTAACTCTGTCCCATTTGTGTCTCTGGTGTAGAGGACTTGTGTTTGCATGCTTGTATTTTGATTTGAATGATGGAATATGACAATGAATTTACAGATTCCAGGATCATAACATCTTAGTCCTCCGGAATGGCAACATATGGGAGTACCATGGCTGAAACAGCATACTCTGTTACGTCCATGGTACTGCTCACGTCTATAGGCGACGATTACTTTCCATCAGGTGGACTGTCAGGTTATTTGCCATTCTAAGTAGCATAAAAAATAACATCACGTCAAGTGGACCTTTATGCGGTACTTCTTGAAATCATTGAGATTTCTGGTGATAATGTCATGAAAAACTATGAGCATTGATTTTAACTGCACCTATTATTCTTCATTTGTACCCCAGCAACGTAAACCATTAAATAGCGCTTCAGATAAGTATCAAAATAGCCTCCCTCGTAGTCTGTATTCATTTACATTTATTTATTTACTTTCAATCGACTTTAAGAAGAAAGAGGTTCTCGATTTGGTAGATTTTTGTTTGTTATCTTATAACCCCATCAGTTGTAAACCAATTTGGAAAATTATCTTTATATTTAAAAGAATATACGTATAGATTAGTCGAATAGAAATTTTATTAAAATCGTTTTAGTAGTTTAGTTTTTAAACCAAAATAACCGGTATTGTCATAATGGAGGTCTTTTTTATACCACTGTGGTGACAAACAAGCATACGGCCCACCTGATGGTAAGTGGTTACCGTAGCCTATGAACACCTGCAATACCAGAGGTATTACGCGTGCGTTGCCGACCCTGAAGAAACCTCTTTACCCCCCTTTTGAAGAACCCCATGCTGTAGTCTCTTGGGAAAACCTCGGCAGGGAGCTCATTCCATAACTTGAGTGTTTTTTTTTGGGAAACTATGTTTAATTATAAACAAGTTAAGATCCGGGAAACCAAATTAATAAAAACACAAGATTCAAAGTTCCTTGACGTTATATTTAGGTAGAAATTGAAATAAAACTTAAACAAAATTAATGATTCTGAATTTACTCTTAGAATAAAGACACGCCGTTTAGCAAACTCATGAACTATCGTGATGCTATACCCATTTGTCTTGTTTACATCAGCCAAGACGCGATACGGGCCCTCATAATCCCCATCTTAAGTTAATCCTGGATGAACGGAACTCTGGTCGCTGGGGAACATTGACCTTTCAGTTGGCAACTATCGTAAAAATTACAGATAGACCTGGGAGAAATTTTAGTATTAGCCTATACTAGCTACACGCCACGGCTTTGCATGGTTTTCTTCAACCAACTCCTTCTGTAGTTTTTTTGTATTTGAAAGGACATACCTACAGATTTGTTTTGTAGTACTTTCTGAAAATCAGTTTATATATATATATATATATATGTAATATTTACCATATTCGAAATTCTTTCTATTAAGTTTACTTCTAAGTTCTTTCTATTAACATACAAATACATACATATACATATGTGAGTGTGTGTTAATACACAATATTAATACAAAAATACACATACAAATAAAGTATAAAGTAAACTGTGGCTTACTTTACTTTGCAAAAAAAGTACAAGAACCGTTTTCTGTCAGGTGACCTCTGCATCGAGGTCACCTATATTCCGACCCCTACGGATTTAGTCAAGTCATTCATTATAGTCAGATAGGAAAATCGAAGTGTCTCAGCTATTAGCTTGGACGGATATAAATATATCAACTTCTGTGATCAAATTAAGAACACATAAATATAACTTTTTTTTTATACTACGAATGTGGCAAGTAAGCATACAGCCTGTCTGATGGTAAACGGTTACGGCAGCCTATGGACGTCTGTAACACTAGGGTTGTCACGTGCGCCTTGCCGACCCTGAAGAAACCTTAATATACCCTTTTTGAAAAATTCCATACTGTAGTCCCTAGGAAAATCTCGGCAGGGATCTCAGTCCATTGTCTAAGCGTTCGCCGGAAAAAAATTCTTTGACACCGTACTATTTAGTATAACCTATTTACCAGACTGACAGAATTTCACAATGGTTTTCAGTGGGAACCGCATGGAGTTCAACCTGATAGGGTACATTACTGTTTTTTTTAGTGAGTGAAGATGGAATGGTAACTCCGCCTGCGTATACCAATACTATTCTATCTTGAAGGGTGACAGGCAGGTCAGTTGGCCCATAGTGACCAATTGAACAAGAATTAACCGCTATGGTTTCCAGGGGGAACCGCGTGGAGAACGACCTAATAGAGTGTATTGCTAGCAATGAGGCTGTGAAATTTCATTACTAACAATCCCTTTCCCCCCGGTACATTATTGTGAGACCCAATTACTAACGATCCCCCCCCCCCCCCCTTGGGACAGAGTTACCCAATTAAACGACTTTAACTCAAAGTCTCTCTAGTAATATCTGTAAGATAAACATTCATTACTTAAAAATATCATACAGTACATTATACTCTGTTTAACAAGGTAAATATATATCCGAGAGCACATGATCCCGGGGGAAATAAAGAAGAGGAGGCAGGCAAATTGTTTGCCGAAGGTAAGGCTTTAAAATTCATTACAGTGAGACGGTTTGTTCAAAATGTACACGTGACAAGCGTATATAATTTTAATGAACATTTAATGAAAGGTACCTTAGATTGGATGTCATTTAAATAGAGTTGGCATTATAAACATTTCGATAAAATACTTTTAAAGTTTGTATAAAATGAACTCGTGACAAGCGTATATAATTTTAATGAACATTTAATGAAGGGTACCTTAGATTGGATGTCATCTAGATGGAGTTGTCACTATAAACGTTTCAATAAAATAGTTTTAAAGTTTGTATAAAATGAACTCGTGACAAGCGTATATAATTTTAATGAACATTTTAATGAAACGGACCTTAGATTGGATGTCATCTAGATGGAGTTGTCACTATAAACGTTTTTAAAAAAATAGTTTTAAAGTTTGTATAAAATGAACTCGTGACAAGCGTATATAATTTTAATGAACATTTAATTAAAGAAACCTTAGATAGTATATAATTTAGATGGAGTGTCTAACTGTAATATATATTATATTATAATCATTAAATTTTTCATTTTAATTCAATTTAATCAGAAAAAAAATGTTTGAATGTAAAAAATTATACTCTAAAGGGTAATAATAGTAGTAATAAATTACTATTTATATGTATCTATTTCCAACTTCTTTTATTTCATGAATGTCGTAAGAAATGACTAAAAAGGTAACACAATATGCCAATTCAAGAGAAGAAAGAAATCTAACAAGAATTCTTATGTAGGCTATATCCTCCTTTAATAAGACAAAATCCTGACCAGCAGTGGTATGCTATTGGATTGTCCTGAACATATCTGATTACAGTTTTTATAAGATATATAAAAAAACATACTTTTTACACAACTACCTAAAAAATTATTGAAATATTTTAAGGGTTCATGTTACATACAGCCTATGTTCAGCAATGGACAGATGACGACTGAAATGATTATGATGATGTACATACACATGCGTGAATTTGTTCATTCTACCATAATTTCTAAATATCTCAACAGATTTATATGTTATCCGTCCACTGCTGGACATGAGCCTCTCCCATAGACTACCATAAAGAACGTTCCTGAGCCACCTGCATCCACTGACTCCCTGCAATGCAATACAGGTTGTCACTCCATCTAGTGGGAGGTCGTCCTACACTGCGTTTACCCGTACGGGGTCGCCACTCAAGAACCTTTCTTCTCCATTGGTTGTCGGTTCTTCAAGCTATGTAACCAGCCCATTGCCACTTAAGCTTGCTTCTCCTTAGATTTATATGTATGAGGCATTATTAGAATCCATAGTACGTCCGGAGTGACACTGACACAAATATTTTTAAAATATGTTGTTTTTTTGGTAGTTCTATCGTATTTTTTTTTATTTGCAAACCAAAATGAACTTTTATCACATAAAATGTCATTCCATTTATCATTCCATTCGACTAAACATTCAACAGAAGTAAAAATACTAATAAATTTATTTAATTTTATAATTTAAACTCTTTTGTAACTGCATATAAAACACTGAAATATAAACTGACAGGTAAATTATCACTTCATTGCTATCGAATTACAATTAACACACAATATGATGTTAAGTACATATAGATATAGTACAATAGATATAGTCTTAATTTTATTATAAAACTATTTATTACAAAATTGATATTAAATAAAAAAAATTTTAAGTGATATTCTTGTCTTCACAAACTCCTGGCTCCGGTGGGATTTTTAAGGTATTGATGCCATGTTTGGTGGTGTCCGTAGGTTCCTGGAATGTTAAAGTAAATATATATGAATCTCTTTATATAGTTAAAGTTTATTTTTTAGTTCATTAAAAAATAAAATAAAAATCCACTGTAGCATACTTAGGATAGTCATCAGTGTGTTCAAATATCATCATATGTCAGCCTTTAACTGTTCACTGCTGAATATATGCCCCCTGCCTGCTGAAATAACCCCCCTTGGGGGGTTTTGCCAGTAGTTGCCACGCTTGGATTTTTTTTATATACAACTTAGAATGGCAATCAAGCTGACGGCCCACCTGATGGACAGTGGTAACCGTCGCCTATAGACATGAGCAGTACCATGGACATAACAGAGTATATTGTTTCGCCCATGATAACCCCCACGCGTTGCCATTCCTGAGGACTCAGGTGTTATTCCTCTGTACCTAGTAAATTCACGCCATATCGCACCCTTTAAACCGAAACACAGCCATGCAAACACAACTGCTTCATGGTTGAAACACGAATGGGACATAGGTACCCAAGCAATCGACTTTTGTACAAAGTCTCCCCCCTCTTCTAATAATTGATATTATTAATGCATTTATAAGTGCAATAAAGAATATTTATATAATTTTTTTTTTATTATTGATCACATCAGTAGAAAACTATTACATACAATAAACAGTAATCACTCAGTAGAATAAAAAAGGAAAACTAAATTAAAAATTAAAGGTACTATAAGGGTACATAACTAACATGTTCCGAGTCGAGCCTGTCCATCTCGTGCATGGACTTCATCATCCTCTGTGCTCTCTTCTGTGCGGACGCCGCTCGTTGTTGCAGTATCTATGGGCAGGCAATTAATAATTAAATAAATATCACAATATGTCACATATGAGTATGTTATGAGAAACCAGACAAAGAAAGTTTGAGATACAATTTATTAAATAAATGAATTTTTTATCTTATTGCATAAATGATCTGGTCCAGCTAAGAAATCCTGTATTATGAGAAATCTCACAAAGAACATCTGAGAAACAACTCATTAAATATGCCCCAAATAACCGTCAATTACATGGTCCTAAAACAGGGATACATAATATTATGAGAAACCACACAACGAACATTTATGGCACAACCCGTTAAGTAATTAAATAAGTCCTATACAATTGTACTTGTAGTCATGTGGCCCTCATACTGGTATACTGTATATTTTGAGAAAACTGACAATTAAGGTTGCCTTAAAAATGCACCAATTATCAAACAATTAAAATATAATTCTCAGATTTTCTTTGTGTAATTTCTCATATAAATAAATAATAATTAAATAATTGCCATAAAATGCACCAATTATCTAATAATTAATACGTAAGTGTCATGGAATTTGTCTAACAGCGACTATCAACACTTCTGCCAAACGTGGCAACCACTGGCAAAACCCCCCAAGAGGGAGGCCTATGTTCAGCAATGAACAGATAATTACGACGTCATAAAATTAGATTATGTATATGACAAGGAAGTGTAAATATACGAGGAATAACCGAAAAATGGATGCATGGACAGCAGCATCTGTCTTAAAACATCACTAATTCGCCTGCCAAGCGTGGCAAACACTGGTAAAACCCCCCAAGGGATGTCTTATATTTAGCAGTGGACAGTTAAAGGCTGATATGATTTTATGAAATAAAAAAAAACCGTTACACAATTGACGAGACTTTCGAGTAAAATACACTATAAAAATATTATAGCATTGAAAACTTTACTTTCGAAGTTACTTCTTTGATTTTATAAGGTTTTAAATTTTGTTTTTTATTACATTATTCTATAAAGTGTCTATTTAATTAAGGCAAAATATGAGGTTCAAAACATTAAAAACAAAATGTACATACCGCTAGTCTTCTTTGCTCGGCCTCAGCTAATTTCTCTTCTATATCTGGTAGACTAATTTCAGCTTGGGGTGGCTGCAGCAGCCTTTGCAAATGTGGTGGAGGCGTGTTGGAGTCCCGACGGTTGCCGTCGATCTCTTCTAGGGGTATCTCGAAGGCTATTGCTGAAAACAATTAGGTAAAGAATTAAATAATAAAACACTGATTGAAAAGAGGTTGTCATGTCTGGATTCAAATTATTTTTCTTTCCCTGAAACTTATTAGGGGTGTCGTAAGAGGCGATTAAGGCAGGGTGAAGGATGGGCAGCGGCGTCCCCCTTAAAACATCCCTAAAAGCCTAACTACAGTTGCCAACCCACCTGCCAAGCGTGTCAACTATTGGCAAAACTCCCCTTACGGGAAAGGCTTATGTTCAGCAGCGGACTGTTAACGGCTGAAATAATAATAAAAAATAACTTTTTAGGATATTAAAAAAAAAAAACAAGCAAGTAGTACAGCCGTTCTCAGATGGTATATTTTTGGAGGGAAGGGATTGTTAGTGATATGATCGTGGGTAGCTCCATAGCTAGCAACATACTCTCACAGGTTGAACTTCATTTGCCTTTCCCCACCGCTGGAAATCATCATGCTTATTTCCTTGTGAATTCGTCATGATTGGCCAATTGATCTGATTTCATCTATACCTATCATCACTCACTGGGGAGAAGAGACTGTTAGTAATGCGGACTACCAATCCTATTGCTAATAATATACCCTGTCAGGTCGACCTCCACGCGGTCCCCTCTGGAAACCATCGTGCTAAATTCCAGGTGTATTCTTCACGATGGGCTAACTAACCCTCACTGGTGCTCCACTAGCGTACACTGTTACCACAGGCGGGATTGCCAGTCCATTATCATCCATTACAAAAAAAACAACACTTACTGGTAACCTACTAGCGTATACCAATATCTCAAATGGAGGTTACCATTCCATTTTCATCCTCAAAAAACTCCATCTATATGTTATTAATCTATGTGTTTGTATAGATATAGAATACTTACGAGGCTTGGGTTTGATTGGCGTATCTGGCAAGACCACCGTGGGCAAGTCGTCATGGTCGTGGTCACTGTGATCGTTCGTCACACCGTTCTGTCCGTTGGCGGGCTTGTGGCCGTTTGCTGTCTCCTGCGATGGTACCACGTTGGCCGATGATCCACAGCCCATGGTTGCACCGGTCTAGTTCGTACCGCGTGTACACAGCACTTTTTAACTTTTTTCACGCACTCGAATGTTTGTGTGAATTAAAGATGTATATTTTATTGTCTGTGCCGAAGGACATTAGATGTACTTAACACGCTTCGACACATTAATAGTCTATGTCATTAATAAGGAATTTGTTTATTAATATTTTATTATGTACATTTTTTTATACAACTTAGAATGGCAAACAAGCTGAAGGTCCACCTGATGGAAAGCGGTAACCGTCGCCTATAGACATGAGCAGTACCATGGACATAACAGAGTATACTGTTTCGCCCATGATACCCCCCATGCGTTGGCATTCCTGAGGACTCAGGTGTTATTCCTCTGTACCCAGTAAATTCACGCCATATCCCACCCTTCAAACGGAAACACAGCCATGCAAACACAGCTGCTTCACGGTTGAAACACGAATGAGACAGAGGTACCCAAGCAATCGACTTTTGTACAAAGTCTCCCTACAACCCTCCCTCCCTCTGTAACAGTAAATTAGATTTATTGGCCATAGATAAGGTTACAATACTAGGAAACCAGACTTTTTTTAACTGGGTCAGGCTGGATGTTGAGTTCTGCTTCCAGAAACGCCTTTAACATACCTTAAACGATTCAAAATAACAATTCGGGATGTACTTCTATCTAAACAAGGAGTATGGAAAACTTCTGTACTGGGTTTATTCATTTTAAAGTATGACAAATATTTTATGATTATCAGCTGTCATGGCGCAGTGTTTTTTTTTAATGGATGATAATGGAATTGTGACGAATTGGCGGGGCACCAGTGAAGGATAATAAGTGAGGATAAAGCAGGTCAGTTGGCCTGTTATGCCTAATTTAACATTAAAATTAATCACAATAGTTTCCAGGGAGAACCACGCGGAGGTCGACCTGATAGGGTATCGCTAGCAATGGGATTGTTAATTTCCATTATTACAAATTCCCTCTTCCCTGGTGCAGTGGTTTTGATGGGTGAAAATGGTATGGTAACCCCGCCTGCGCTAACGGGATACGCTGGCGGAGCACCAGTGAAGGGTGATAGATGAGAATGAAAACAGGCCAGTTAGCCCATCATGATGAATTCATCAGGAATTAACCATGATAGTTTCCAGGGGGAACCGCGAGGAGGTCGACCTGGTTGGGTATATTGCTAGCAATGGGATTCTCAGTCTCCATTACTAACAATCCCTTTCCCCTCTCCTGGTGCAGTGGTAGGCACGTTGCTTTGCGTAAATAAGGTCCTGAGTTTGATTTCTAGTCGGGTCAATTCAAGAAACGACTTTTTTTGAATTAGCTCAGGTCTAAATATTCTGGGTTATGCCACCAGATGTTTGTCGCCTAGTTCCTCACAACACAGGATAATCTACTTTGAAGACCAATCGATTGGTGTGGTGGTCTGGCATTTATATTATATTGTTTATTTATTTTTGCCCGAAGCGGCAAAATGGCTAGTAGGGCACAAATTCTTGTTCACATGTATGCAGTTAAAAATTGGACATAGGTGATTGCATAAATAACCTCAAATAACGTCTTTAAAAAAGTTTACATTCATTATATTTTTTACCCACGCTTTAAAATCAACTTCCAGCAACATTATTTCCGAACTGATACGACATCGTAACTTTTAAAAAAAGAACATATTCCTTTTTTAAAATGTTGTGGGCACCCATGAAGAGTGCTAGTGTCCTTAAAGTACATTTACCATCAGATGAGCCGAATTCTTGTTTGCGCCCTTTCCAAATAAAAAAAAAACTTTTTAACGTGCTTATTTAAAACTTTTAAGACATGGATCCGATGTAATTTCCATAATCTCTATCCGACCTCGTCTCTCTTCGTAAAGAAGCGGCCACGGTTGTAAGGTATTGAAACCACAAAATACATTATGTATTACCAGGGCCGTAGCTAGACCCGAGTTTAAGGTAGGGCAAAAGTACTTTTTGGTAGGGCACAAACCATAATTAAGTGACTTCAAAAAAGCGAATCCATCTAATTGAGCAATAAAAGCTAAAACAATAATTTTTTAAAATTTTATCTGTCTGTATGTTTGTTCCGATATCACACAAAAACTACTCTATCGAACTGGAAGCGGTTTTACAGCTGTATTTTTGAAGATCTAACTTAAAAATTGGTGCATGTTTTATTTTGACAGCTTTACAGCCAGAAGTGCTTTACTTCATTGATTACTGTTTTTGAAGTCCACGCGTACAAAGAAACGGGTAAAAAGTGAATCTAAGATAAATATCCAAGCAAACTGTCTATTTTTTCGAAAACATAAAATACATACAACATCCGCACGAGATTTTTCCTGTTCAGCCAACTCTAGTGGAAGTCTAATCAGGAAATATTGCTGCCGGTTTCCCGTCTTATTTACCAAAGATCAGGGCACAGCGCTGCTAGATATTTTCACAACAATCTTGTTCACTTTAGCGGGCATTTTCTTCTGTAACTTCGCGTTATAATAAACTCTTTCCTGTATGAAAGATTGACCTATATTTATAATCAATATTGACGGTTCCTTATGTTACAGATATGTTACGTTTATGAGAGTTTGGTAACCATTAATCTTATGTCCTATTCTATAGGAATATATATATATATATATATATATATATATATATATATATATATATATATATATAACCATTTACCATCAGGTGGGCTGTATGCTTGTTTGCCACCTCAGTGGTATAAAAAAAACCCAATTGTCCTTATCCAAAATGTGGTATGCCAAATTCCATCACGTTTAATTAAACCATAAAAGCACTGAAATATTCGTTGTTATCACATATACGTTTTTACATTTATACTTTAAAAGCTTTTACATTTATATATATCGCCGTGTGGTTCCGGCATAGAATAGGTCACCCCTTCTTTTCTTGTAGGTGTCGTAACAGGCAACTAAGGGAACTTAATAGCCAAGGGATGGGCAGCAGCGTTCCTATCAAAACATATCTAACCTTAACTGCAGATGCTAACTCGCCTGCCAAACGTGGCAACTATTAGCAAAACTCCCCTTATGGGGAAGGTTTATGTTCAACAGTGGACAGTTAAGAGCTGATATGATGATGATAAAGCTATTACCCGCGACTTTGTCCGCGTGTCCGGGATATATTTACTGACCGGGATAAAGAGTAGCCTGGATAGTTAGATACTCTTTATTGTTTTCTCCAAAAGATTACCCAAAACCATATAGCTGCATCGTAAACGATTTGTCGTAATAACTAGAAAAATGTACCGGAATTTTCGGCTGGAGGCCCTTAGAAGACCTTAAATTGTCCTTAAATTAAATGTGTGTGTGTGTGTGTGTGTGTGTGTATGTATGTGTGTATATATATATGTGTGTGTGTGTGTGTGTATGTGTCAAATATAGGCACAAATAAAAACTTCTTTCCTTTTTTTTAAATAATATTTTTTTTAATTAGTATTGAGAAATAATTCTTGTAAGAAGTAATTTACAGTGGTACCCTGCATTTTGGTTGTTTTGTTAAGCGCTTAACCAGCGCTGTGCAGCTGTTCACATTGCGCTGGGACACTCACAGCATCAGCTGAGCCGGTTCCTTTTGCCGGGTGTGAGACATTTTTTGTATATGTTATTTGTATTTTGTCTTGTAATTGTATGGCAATAAATGTTTCTATTCTATTCTATTCTAAATTAAAAGAATTGACGGAGTGTAGAAAATCATACCGCTCCTTCAGATAGCGAGGGGAAGCCTATATCTTTCTACATCTCGTGTTATACCGTGTATACCAAATTTCATAGTGATTGGTTAAGCCGTTAAGGGGCTATGAAGTAGTAAACAAATAAAATTCTCTTTCACATTTATAATATTAGAAAAAATAATACAGGTGTTCAAATGTGCTTACTTAGCAATAGAGAGCAATTAATCGATGGTGACAGTCCCTACCTGACCATGACATGGGCATTTTCTGCACATTTTACTTTCCCACGGATATTTATTTTTCCTGAATTCATAAATAAATGTGCGAAACAATTATATCAATAAACCTGTTCCACGCTATTGAAGTAAAGCACGGGTAATATAGATACCGGGGGGGAAGGGATTGTTAGTAATGGAGACTGAGAATCCTATTGCTAGCAATATACCCAACCAGGTCCACCTCCTCGCGGTTCTCCCTGGAAACTATCATGGTTAATTCCTGATGAATTCATCATGATGGGCTAACTGGCCTGTTTTCATTCTCATCTATCACCCTTCACTGGTGCTCCGCCAGCGTATCCCGTTAGCGCAGGCGGGGTTACCATTCCATTTTCACCCATCAAAAAAAACGGTCCAGTAGTTCATTTTTATTACTTTTTTTATTAGTTTTTGCGTGATTCCGGAATTAACATACAAACAGACACACGGATTGACAAAATTTTTAAAAATTATTATTCTATCGTCTATTGGTCTTATTAATACCATTTATATATATTTTTTTACCCTCCATGTATTAATGAGATTAATTTTGTGACGTCAAGAAAAGGTAATTAAAAATAATTAGGTCGATGAAGGGGGATTTTTGTAGAAATTTGTTGTTTTCTGTCTCTTTCTATTTGGTTTATAAAGTCACTTTGAATGGAAACAGATAGAAGACAATGCAAATCGTATTTTTTTCTTAGTCTAAGTTTTTGGTCTATGGCAGTATTAAAAATATTTATGGGCTATAAAAAAAAACCCACCGCTCCTTCATTGTTTTGGAATAAAAAAGAAATTTTCTTTATGTGTTAATTAATAAATTACATACAGAGATTGTTGGCATATGTGGAATTTAGAATCATTTTTATGTTTTTTTTTAATTAAACGCTGTCATTTTTTTTTAATGGATGATTAATGGAAAGGTAACCCCGCCTGCGCTATCGGTATACGTTGGCGGGGCACCAGTGAGGGATGATAGGTGAATAATGAAAAAAGGCAGGTCAGTCAGCCCATCGTGATGAAAACACATGGAACTCAGCACGATGGATTCCAGGGGGAACCGCGTGGAGGTCGACCTGACAGGGTATATTGCTAGCAATGGGACTGGTAGCCCGCATTACTAACGATGCCTTCCCCCCACTTCCTTACTTCCTTCCTTTTCATTGTGTTGTGATATGTGTAAATAAAAAAAACGTACGCATGATTTCTGGTTTCTTCTATTCTAATTATTATTTTTTAGCTCAAAATGCATAAATATATTAAATGAATTAATATTAATTATAAATTTTATAACCTGTTGAAGTGTTTTTAATTATAAATATAACTAAACATATTTATTAACTGCCACTTAAATCCAAAATGTTTTTTCTGTAACTGTATGTTTTGAAAAAATCTAATTATATTTTTTTTTACACTGTTGTCGATCAATCTCAACACTGAATATTGTTAATTGCGTTTAATTCTATTATACAACGAATCGGGCGTCGAACCGGCACCCGTGCGGCCGCGGCCGCATCATCGACGGTACTATTCGCTCCGATTAGTAGAATTTTATTTTCACCTAACTAGTTTTTCTATGATAGTGTCGGTGTACAGCGACTTATACATTTTGATACTTTCTAAGCAACTTATGAAGCCAAATATGTTTATGAAGCAAATTTTTTATGCTACTTAAAATGGCAAACAAGCGGGCGGTAAGACATGAACAGCACCGTGAACATAATACCCCCCATGCGTTGCCATTCCTGAGGACTCAGGTGTTATTCCTCTGTACCCTGTAAATTCACTGTCATATCCCACCCTTCAAACCGAAACACAGCCATGCAAACACAACTGCTTCACGGTAGTAACACGAATGGGGCAGAGGTACCCAAGCAAACGAGTGGGAAGCAACGCATGGGAAAGGCAACGCAAGGGAGGTATCGTTGGCGAAACAGTATATTCTGTTATGTCCATGATACTGCTCATATCTATAGGCGACGGTTACCACTTCACATCAAGCATTCACATGTAGTTGTATCAAAATTTAAAATCTAACAAAATGAAAAAATAAAAAATTAAGCATGATAAAATATGTAATGTATAATTGTGTAAAAATGTATAATTGTATAATTGTTAGTTAATGTACATTGACGCTTATCTGTTAGAGCTGTATACACCTTTAATTGATGTGTTCACATGGCCTTAAGCTTGGTAGGGAGGAGTGAGACTTTGTACAAAAGTCGATTGCTTGGGTACCTCTGTCCCATTAGTGTTTAAACCGTGAAGCAGTTGTGTTTGCATGGCTGTGTTTCGGTTTGAACGGTGGGATATGGCGTGAATTTACAGGGTACAGAGGAATAACACCTGAGTCCTCAGGAATGGCAACGCATGGGAGGTATCATGGGCGAGGTATCATTTCCATCAGGTGGGCCGTCAGCTTGTTTGCCATTCTAAGTTTTATAAAGAACAAAAAAAGTGAGATTTTTTTGTTCAAACTTAGATTTAAACATTTTTGAATAGTAGTTTATCTCTTTTACTTACTAATAACATTGTATAATGTCTGCTTAATTATTGTGAGCATATTGCTGGTGTGTCTTTTTTTTTTTTATACAACTTAGAATGGCAAACAAGCTGACGGCCCACCTGATGGAAAGTGGTAACCGTCGCCTATAGACATGAGCAGTACCCTGGACATAACAGAGTATACTGTTTCATCCATGATACCCCCCATGCGTTGCCATTCCTGAGGACTCAGATGTTATTCCTCTGTACCCAGTAAATTCACGCCATATCCCACCCTTCAAACCGAAACACAGTCATGCAAACACAACTGCTTCACGGTTGAAACACGAATGGGACAGAGGTACCCAAGCAATCGACTTTTGTACAAAGTCTCCCTCTGGTTTTATAAATAAATAAATAAATAAAAATATATGGTCTTAATTGCCATCAAAAGTGGATAGTTCTCTCTGTAAATTGTGATACCCTTACGGGGTGTCACGTGACTTATGTACTTACCTATTAATAATAACTAATTTGCACCACGTGGCATTATAATAAATATAAATAAATAAATAAATAAATGATGGTGTTATGAGGTAACAAATGTAGAAAATAATTCGAATTGAGAACTTGCTACTTCTTTCGGTTAAAAAACATAATACCAACAGACAAATTGGAAACCTTTACTCAATTTGCGTGTATTTTTCGTGTACGTGTTACGCGATATTTCCCCCTATTATGGGGTCTATTAATTTTTTTTTAAATTGATACGGTTTACTTCCGTCTTGGTTTCATATTCATTTCCAACGGTTGAAGCCACAGTAATTTTTTGCGAAGCAAAATGATTAAAACGTTAGAATACGTGGAATCTGTCGCCGAGATTATGCGTAAAAAGTGGATATTGGGAAAGAGGACTCCTCTAGCTCCCCCGTATAAGGAAATATGGAGGAAATTTACGTTTTTTTCCAAATATAGGCATCATCATCAATCATCATCTTTAGGGTTGGCAACGCGTACGTGACACCCCTAGTGTTGCAGACGTCCATAGGCTACAGTAATTGTTTACCATCAGACGAACTGTATGCTTGTTGGTCACCTTTGTGACATAAAAAAAAGTAGATATTTCCACAAAAAAGAACCAAACTGACTTCAGTCGTAACAAAACCAGTTCTTTTGATTTAAAAACTTAAGTGCTAAACCGATTTTGATAAAATTTCTAGGGTACTATAAATAACATAAGGTCCTTCATAAAAAAAAATTGCAAATCAATTTATACATGTGGGAGTTCTGATGTAACTGACCTAAAAAAAAACAACCTAATTAAAAATCCTCTCCTTTCTTAAAGTCGATTGAAAAGCGTCAAATTGTTAATAAAACATGACAGAATGTTACCTTTGAGACTAGAAGGATATGAGAGCAGAAGGGTGAGGGAAAAATTGAGCGGGAAATAAAGTAACATAGGGGTTATGGTGTGGGGTAAGGGGTCTTGTAATGTGGGCGTGAAGACAGCAGTTTAAGCGAACATGTAAGCGGTTGGAAATATCGAAAATTAGTTTTTCAAGATCTCGTTGCTCATTTTAAGTATCAAGTAGTAATGATCCAATCGTATTCAGGATTCAACAATGCTTACATAGAAATTACAGCCGCCACTGTAGGCTTACACACAACCCCTTCGTCGCCGCGGCGTCACAAACAAATACGCGGAGTGGAACCGCATTAAAGATAATAAAACATTTCTAATGGCGCGAAAACCTAAAGCTGTCACGTTGACAGTCGAAGTACGAGTATGACCACAGATAATGTAATAATAACGTATCGTGAATACTCACTAACTGGCATTTTAATAATAAAAACGGGACAAAAAAAAATGTTACACTTTTGTGTAACAATTTCTTTGTCTCTTGTATGCGTATTTTGTAAATGTGTGCACTGATAGATCTGAATTTATATGGAATTGAATTTGCAAAAATCATGTATTTGTTATGTTTTATTAGAATTCCTGGTCTATTTTCCATAAAACGCCTGTTCAAGTAAAATAGCAATATCACTACAATATTCAGTCATATGCAAATTTTATCAGGAGTTGAAGTTAACTTATTTTTATTTCATAATTCATTAAGTAGGTATGGGTAAAAAAAAAAAAACAATTATTATATATATACAATAAGAGCGAAGAAAGAAGCCCTAGAAGAATGAAGACACCACGCCGGCATACACAGACCAACAGTATATGCCGGCAGCAAATCCAGCGACCTGAAGGTCGTCGCCTCCGGAGTAGAAGCCGGGGTAATGGGGTACGCCCCGAGGCCCCTACTTCGCCCGCCCACACATCATCTGGCGGGCAAAGAGTAGACCCTGTTGTTGTTGTTGGTATAGGTAATATGAATACAAATCCAACATATTGGATTCCTTTGGACATTGATATATTCTTTTTATTTTATTTTATCCTAAATACGTATCTGTAAATTTAAGTTGTTTGTGAGGAGACATAAATAAATAAATATATATTATATTATATTATTGATGGCGGAAAAAAGTCATCATGCATTTCGAATTCGCCCATATTGATCGGATATTTATTTTCGAATATATTAAAAGTCTGTTATCTAATATTATATTTTGGATAACAGACTTTTAACATGTTCATTATTGAATCAAAATATAGATATGATATTTAAAATACATAGATATTGCTATATATTATTCACCTCTTACATCGAGTTATTTTTTAATCCCAATTTACGTGTTAATATTTTTTTTTCATTTATACACCGACTCCACAGTTTAGACTAAGACTCGTCACTCGATGGGGTTAACAATCACCGACCGACACCTACCATTGATTGCCCCTACATAATGCATAGACAACCCTCCCCCCTTGCCCCCTATAGACTCAAATTATTCTACCAACCATTATACATTGGTACGCGTGATTACACATGTTGCCACTAATTACCCCACACCGTGAACAAGCAAGGGGGGAGTGGAAGGTCTCGCTACAAAAGTGTTCCATTGATGGTATGCATGTTGATAATTTCCAATCGATTTTAATAATTATATAGTAAACGTATGTAGGCGTGATGCGGTGCAAAAGGGAATTTGGGGTAACCATTGTGTTTTTTAACTTGAAAACCTTCTAACCCATATTTTAATGTCGCGTTACACAGATAATGAAATGTCAATTAATAATAATGTTCAACAATGGAAAATGTATGAGGTGTTTTTTTACTAATTGATGAAAATGGAACGGTGACTCTTACTATGCTATTGTTATACGCTGGTGGGGCGCCAGTGAGAGATATTGCAGGTCAGTTAACCCATCATGATGAATTCCACAAGAACTAACCACGGTATTTCCAGGAAGAACTATATAGTGCTCGACCTGATAAGGTATTTTGCTAGCAATGGGGTTATTTTTCCTTAGGTGAAATGATTATATGTCGAAAAGTTATGGGACCATGGGAGCATATTGTTGCTGGAGTCTTATATCACATTTTGTCACTGGTGCTCCAATAACATACACCAGTAGCATAGGCGAGGTTAACATTCCTTTGTACCCCATAATAAATTAAGATTGTGTCTAAAAAAAACATTCTTATTTTCCAAATCGGTTAACAACTGATGGAGTTATGACACAAACAATAAGAGTTTCTCTTTCTTTTCTCAATGCCCTCTACCCAAAGGTTGTCTGGAAGAGATTGTTCGGCGATACCACGTTTTTGTAGTGCATCCACAATGTTTGCAGCGGCATGGACAGATGACTTCTATGCCATCAGACGCAAACGGATCGCATCTCTTTTATACCGATTGCGTGGCAGCAGTAACAGCATTCTGAGGGCATTGTGTAATAAATACGATAGTCCGATCCTCTCATTGTGGGTCAAAATTATTATAGGGGCCATAAAATAAATTTTGTATTTTTTTTTTTCCACTAACATAGTTTAAGTCAATTGTTACTAACAAGAATGGATCTTTGTAATCTATAAATAAATTATTATTATTATTATTATTATAAGACCGCCTTTTGTA